AACTAAGAGGGATAGTGGCAGACTTGATTAAAACAAATAGACACAAACATTAATGACCTAGATACATATTGAAAGTGCCTCTGACTGTGGACATTTACAGCAAAACATATGTCTGAGAGGAATACTCACAGAGAGGAATGTTACTGTAGCTAAATGACTGGATAAAAATTCAGAAGCTCTATTTCCTCCTATTCCTGATATTAAGATAATTTCCTCTATGTAATTTTCAGAAGTGCCTGTCAAACTTCGGAAACTAAGTGACAGGATTCTTGGAGTCCAGAGCTAGGTTCAGCAGGAGCACTTCACACTGATTTTCATGAGACCTGGACTCACACAGAAATGCAGGGCACACCAGTACCCAGCTAAACCATCAAAGTGCTCATCAAATACAGTTGTACAAGCGCTTCCAAGACCCAGCTGACTCATGCTTGGATTGCATTGTGCTGTGCAATGCCACACATAAAGCTTTTGTTGCACTCTATATGCATCTTGTAAATATATTACTCAACCAAGCTTAGACTGACTTTGTCATTTCATTGCAGCCTCTTTGTCACTCTCAATCCTTCTGTACTTCATTCTCATGCTTTTTAAAAAAAGAGTCCCTGTTTGACCAGTTCTTGCAATATAAAAAGCAATCTACACTGCAACTTTTTCTGTAACTGCACATCCTACTTTGAAAAGCAATTCTGAGGCAAGGATCTTCTTCTTTGTTTTTGTCAAGCACACACAACCACTTTTAAAAGTGACCTGGAGTTTGTACCAGTTGCAGGACTAGCAAGAAAATTACAGAGGCAAATAACATCTTCTGGGAGTGAACTTGGCAGAGAAGTTCAAATGAAGTTAAATGTGATTTTAAATGTGATTTAGTGTCACACAAAGCCCAGGTGTGAAGAAAATGGAAACTGCACTGGCAACAAGGAACAAGAAAAATGAGGCATCTGATATTTGCATTTTGTCTAACTTCCTATTAACACACAATTCCTTATTTGAGGAAAACATTTCCCTCATGAATTGCCTTTGTAGCACTTTAACCAGGGAAAAACAGAAATAAAAGCACAAGGTAGTTTTGTCCCCTTGCAAATCTTCAGAAAAGTTCTCAGTCTACAATTACACGCAACTCCACTAAATAGCACAAGTGTGATCACACTGGGTCAGAGCAAAGGTCCATCAGCTCAGAGTCCTGCCTCCCACAGTGATCAAAAGCAGGCTCTTGAGAAGATTACAAAAATCTCCAGAACAAGCATATGATGGTATTTCCCACTGATGTTCTCACGGCCTCCTCAGGCATTTCCTCAGCCAGACATGATTGCTGAATGTTTAATCTTGGTGGATTTTTCTTCCACGAGCCTGTGCAGGCTCCCTCTGTGTCCTATGAACTTTTACCACCCGCCACAAAATGCAGCAAGAAATCCCACAGCCTAATTACAGGCTTTGTGCAAGAAACACCTTGTTTTGTTATTATTGTTGCTGCTGCTGCTGTTGTTGTTGAGAGCTGGTTACCCTGCTGTTCATCTCTGCACTTTAGACTGGAAAAGACTGTGAGCAAACACCCCTTGTTTATCCCCTGACCTTGACTGACAATTTTACAGGGCTCCCAGTTGTACCTCTTGTTCCATCCAGCAACCTTTCACCATCCATGTGGCTCCTCTGGGAACCTTTCAGAGTTCTCTCTCCTTCCTCAGGTGGCAACCAGAACTGTGTAGGCTTGTCAACACAGATTTATCCAGTGGTGAAGTAGTGTTATTTTTATTTTTTTTTTACCTAAAGGGAATCAATTTGCTTTTCTTTTTATCACCACTGAGCTGAAATTTTGACAGAATTATTTGTTGTAATTCTGAGATTTTGGTATTGCATAGTGAATGCATTGACATGTAATGATCAAGTCAGAGGCTGCAGTTTTATACACTGGGATTGGTTTATTTCCCCCAGGGACATCATTTTACCAACACACTGAACTCTTCCTTTGAAAGAAAGTTCAACTTTCTGAAGTACACCGTCTTGCTTTAATAATCTGTTTAATCCTGCTGTTTAGCAATCCTTTTTTAAGGATGCTTTCTTTCAGCACCCTTTCTTAAGGCTTTTTTCACCTGAGGTATGCATTTCTTGAATGCTTCCAGTATGTCCCCAAAGGGTGTCCATGCCATCTACAAGGACTGAATTCCCCCAGCTAAGCATTCTGATTTTTTTTTTTTTTGAGCAAGTATTCTCCTTTTTATGTAGTCTCTTATTTTGAAGTTGGTATAAGTAGGTAAGTTCTCTACCTGCTTATTAAGCATATTTTGATAGAGGGGATTATAAAATTGGGCATAAATCCCATAGAAAACCAAAAATAATAACTCATAAGTCAACTTCTGTGGCAGCCACCAACCTCCCTGATGTAGCAAACTATGAATCAAAACATAAAGGTGATATAATGCTCAGGTAATAGGACAGATGTACTCAACATGATATGTTAAGATCCTTCAGTGAGGCATGTAAGGATCTTCAGCATTTTTAGTTAAATAAAATTAATGCTTTTCAGTGAAAGGAATATGTCTACACTTACAAGGCACATATTGTGATCTTGGTACAGACACCATGGACAAAATCTAAATTCATCTTTCCTACATTTTTTTTTTCTTTGTGAACTACTGAAAAATGCACCTCTTTATCAAAAAGGTGCCAGTCCCATCCCCAACAAGTTGTAATTCCTACCATAATTGATGCCTGATTGCTGCATCGAACTGTAGAGAGATCACTTATCTGTAAATGGCTAACAGCTGGGATACCCTGCTGAAATTCAGTGGATTCTGGAAGCTGTAAGAATTTTCTGTGTGTCTTGAAGTTCAGTCCCTGCAATCTCAAAAAGAGTAAATTTATCAGGTAAGGTGTCAGAAACTGCACATAAAAATATGTCAGTTTTGTAAACTCATTTTTCTTCCAGAGGTTTTGTACTTCAGGACTTTCTCAATTTTTCATCCTCCCCTGTGATGCAGAAGAATCTGTTTAGAACCCCCACAACATTAATAAAAAACAGGCTTTAAGAATAGAGACTGTGGCAGGTGGAGAATTATGCAGATGAAGTAAAATCAGGGGGGAAAAGGCATAGTAATGGAAAGTTGCATGCCACTCAAAAGAATGGTTCTTTCTTTGGCCTTTCCCATTAAAAAGTTAAACGTTATAAAATGGATGGTAAATCCTACTGACTATCATATTAAGTTTAGGTTTGTCAGACACAAGCAGAATCATATCCAGAGATGGTATTTTGTTTACTCCAAAGACCTAAACTAGATACGACTTGATTAGGGATGAGAGGGACGCCATTTTCAACAGTTTTTTTAATGAAATGTTATTTCAGCTCAATCCTGCAAGCTGCAGAATATTTTCCTACTGAGGCCCCAAAGTTTTTTATTCCCTCTAAGCTTAGGAAAATCTTCTCAAAGCAATGGGTCTCTGCAAGTCATTATTCTTACAAGAGCACCTGCTCTTGCTTGGTGCTTGTAGGAAGTGTGCGCACAGGGCTTGACGGCCTCCCAAGACAGCCCTGGCAGAAGTGATTTAACTCAGAACTACCTGTTATAGAAACTCAATGTTCTCTCTGTCAGACTGAAGGGCCTGCCATCATTCAAGGAAGTTAAATGGTCTGATTTGGAGGAGAGGGAAATTATTCCTCAGCAGCAGCAACCAAAAAGATCTCTTGGTTATGAGCAACGGAGTAAAGCTCTGTACAAGATGTGTTACAGAGACAGCAGAGCACTGCCCATATTTTCTGTTTTAAAAGTGTAGTAGCTAGGCACACATTAGATGTATTCCTCCTACATCTGGTTATGTGGTTTCTCACTGATGATTGAGCTCAGCCTTTTTGAGTGTTTCAAAGTTCATTATGCATGCTAATTTACATGAGCTGTCTCAGTCATATACAAATGAAGTTACTGATATGCACTTGATTGCACAATGAGCACACACCACAGAACAGGAAGTGCTTTTTGTCAGAGAAAATAAACCCACTTCAAACATCAAACATTCATAAGCACAGTAGTAAAATTAAAGCTGTAACAAGTATTTATGATTCACTGACTCCTTTCTTCCTTCCAAAATGAAAATTCAGGAAGATAAATTCGGAACTGATAATAAAAATCTTAGGTAAAAAGAAAAATACATAAAGACCAAGCTGGTCCTTTATATATTTTAAGCAATTATTGAAGACTTTATTGTTTTTATCTAATTGTTGTGATACATTTTTCATTTTGTAACAGATGCCAGGACAAAAAGAAAGCTGTGCAGAGAAACTTTTTACTGCTGGGTTGTATGTGAGCAGCACCAAATGTACAGATATATGAAGAGGAGCATTTCCTAGGGACAGGAAAACAGTCCAGACATGCAGCACTCACACCCACAGAGAAGATTGTATGCATAAAACGCCATGTTTTGAAATTCCAGCTCGTTATACTGTGACAATATTCCAGGGGCTGAAAAGCAAAATGCCAAAAAAGTACTTCAGTACTTGGGACAGGATTATCTGACGTGACCTTCGTTCCCTAATTATCATACTTCAAGTTTAATTGGGCTCCTGCAATCTCAGGCACCTCCAAAGGGACTTAATCTCACTCACAATGAACACATTTTAGCTGAAGGTGTCTTTGCAAGAGTGTCCTGCAGAGGTGTCCAGTGACAGCAGAGGTACCAAAGTGGTGGTGAGGTGCTGGTGGTTACACACCACCTCCCTGTTAACTGCTAAAGAAAAGGCAGGCAAATCCCAGTCCTGCTGTTGTTTGATTTGAATAACAAGCCAAAGTTCTTAGGGAAACCAGTCCTATCTGTCTCCATGCAGGATGACACACACCTCAGCTGTTTCACCCTTTGGAAAGGAAAAGAAATGACACATTTACTATAGCAACCCCAGCCTGCCATTTCAAATCTTCTGGTAAAGACAAAGTCATCACAGGCTGATCAGATGGTTTAACAGGCATGTGCTAAAGCTGGAATAACAGTTTTTGGACCATGTTTTCTATTCCCTGCAGGAGCAGACCTTCCAGGCCTGGTGGGTGCATTGCTTTTCTGTGAGATCATGACAGATCTGTGATGCTGTGGACATGCTGTGGAAACACAACAGCCTTCCTCAAATAAAATGCAGAAGGAAAAAGAAAATAAAAAGGATGAAATTTCATGTTTACTTTATTCTTCACTTGATATTAATCTTCTCCTTTTCCCCCTTTCTCACTATCTGCATTTTACACTCTTTTGCACCTGCTTAAGCACTCAGTATGGGTCACTTTTTAATCCTCTTGGTCACTCCCCAGTCTGGGGTCAGAGGCTCTGGATTTAAGACACAAAAACAGTTTGGGGAACTTCTTAATTGAGCAAAAGCCAGGATATATGAAACCACATGGTAAAATGCATCCACCATTTCTAGAGTTAGGTGGGAAACTCTGAGAGCAGCTTGCAGAAAAGATAAAGGCACAAATAAAACCTTTCAGATGATCATCCCTAAGTAAACCCACCAAAGTAGCAAATATTTTTGCTTCTTGGGCCACAGCTGCTCCCAGAGACCAAATAAGACCTTGCTGGGATGGTACTGGGGATCCCAGAGCAAATCCAGTCACTGGGTTTTGTTGAGGCTCTGGGTACCACTCCCAGCTGTCACTATTCCATCTAGTGTCACAGCTTCTGGTTAAGAAACTGCTTCCCCCATGCCTCTTACAATTGCTTTCTTCAGTGTTTACATTTACTCAAACAGACACAGACAGCCTTCCCCCATAGTCCTTTCCCCCAGCTCCCACATGCCAGGGCCCACCAGGTACCACATCCTTCCTGTTCCTTGCCTTATTTCTGCAGAAATAAGTCAACAGGTCAAAAAGGAACTATCTGAAAATTTCAGTGTGCACAGGGACAAGGAAAATACTATACAAACTGGTGGCTGGAAAAAATTTGGAAAATAGGAAATATTTGGGTGGCTTGGTTTTAGTTAACTCACATGTGACATTTAACTTAAAGGACTCTTCATTTCTATTTACTTTGATTTCTCTCTAAAAATCAAGAGGACCAAGGCTTTGTCCCTAACTTTGCTCCCTCTGCGCGGCAGCCCAACCCCAATGTTGCCTTTTTCCCAACCTGGAAATGAAGCTCAAGATACTTTTAGCAAGCAGGTAATGTAAGAGCAGATCTTTATTTTAATACCTTCAGGGACAGTTGAGGAAAGATGTTCACAAAAGTCCATTCCTCAGGGATGAATAATTTTTATACGTTTTAGGAAATTAGCATAATAGATGAAAGGCACCAGTTAGGAGGACAAGTGCTGATGCAATTCTGCTGCGGGTCAAGTCCCTTCTCTGGAGTCCCCTCCTTGGCTCTAGCTCTACTTTGTCCTGAAATATATCTTGAAGAGTTATTCTCAGCCTTGGCTCCCAGGAAGAACCAAGATAGCGCTGGGGCCTTGTACCCTGTGGGGCTTGGAGCTCTGGAATGTGTTTTGTCTTTCTGCCTAGGGAAATGCCATGGAAAATTACTGGGAAAACGAGTCACTAATAAAATAGGCTAGGAAACTACAAATATATGTGCAAAGAATACAGAGAAAATATAAAAGGAAAAAAGAAAAAAACCCAAACAGCATCACTGGGACCAGCCATTGCCAGTGAGTTGTGCAAAGCAGCAACCCCCTGCCCAGTCCTGCTGTTCTCTGACGCTGCTTTGGGGTTTTTGCTACACTTTAGCCTGATGCCTTGTGTCCCCCAGGACCCCCAGCTACTTCTGCTTCTGCAAGGGTGCTGCCCTTGCTGCTGTTTGTTTGCCTTGTCATACAGGTGCACACTGATAAAAACTGTTATTCCTTTTCCTATATATTTTCCTGAAAGCCCCATAAATTCATAGTAATAATTTGGAGGAAAGGGAGTCATATTGTCCATTGTTCCCACCTTTCTTGGCAACACCCATCTTTCAAACCAAGACAGGAGAGAGGAATCTGGGGCAGTTCCATGCTACCGTTGGTGTGCCTTTTGTAGTTCCAGTCTGCCTGAAGGTCTAAGTTTTATGGATTTTTAAACCCTAACCCTAAGTGGAGCCCTTTGCTAAGGCTGAGGTGCTCAGCACCTGGGTGGTTCCACGGAGCACGGTGTGAAGGGAGCAATGTTGGGGCAATGCTGTGTGCTTCCCTTGGCATGCCTTTTGTAGTTCCAGTGTCCCTGGAGCTCTGGGCTTTGTAACCCTAACCCTAAGTGAAGCAGTAAAAGCAGCCTTTTGCTGAAGCTGAGGTGGTCATTACATGGCTGGTGCCAAGGAGCAATTTGTGGAGGGAACAACGTTGGGGCAGTGCTATGCTCTTTCACAGCAGGCAATCTGCTATAAATGTACTGGATCCAAAACTCCTGCTGTTTCCCTCCTCCAAATCCCCACCCATCTCCTTTCACAGGTAAGAGCTCTCCAATTCCTTCTCTGTGCTCTGTGCTGACCTTTGTGTCATGCCACCAAGTGTTTAAAATGCTGCTTGATTAAAGCAATAAACTTCAACAAGGGATATGGCTTGCTAATGACTCCTCAGTTTCCAAGAGCACAATGATTGTCTGCCTTGGCACTCAGAAGCACTTAGCAAAGCCATCATTAGATACCAAAGGGAGCAAGGATAGGAGCTGGACAGAGCTTCTTGCTCTATTTGATCAACAGTGCTAGACATGTTCTTACCAGTGACCAAATTTCCTTCTTTTATGTGCTTGACTCCTTAGCTGCTTCCCTTTGCTTTTAGTTTTGTGTTATTATAAACTTAGAGAGACTGAACTATGTGTTAAGGCAGGACCAGCAAAGAAGAGACAGACAATCCTGACCCACTTGTAGGTTGAGTGAGCTGAGACTTAACCACATTCTGCATGGACTGGGGACAGGAGCAGGGGAAGACAAAGGAAAGTCAAGGTCCAAGGTCAGTAAATGCAAACACAGTAATTTTGAGATAGAATGTGTGAAATATCCATGTCTCAGTGATTTCAGTGCAGGTGTACTGTGCCCAGCCATGAAAGCCACAGTCAGACAGGTATTGAAGAGGAGGTTTTGATAAGTGAAGTTTAGCAGGGACCCATGGTGGCTGTCAGGAGGGGAGGTCTGGCAGATGTGAGTGACCCCAGAGGCTCTGCAATGTCACCTCTGTCATGTGGCACCAAGTGTGGGTCCTGGGAGAGCCCAAAGCAACAGTAAAACCTGTCCCTGTCCAGAGAGTTCATGGCACAGCACTAGGCATACAGTCACCCACAAATAATATTAACCTTGATATTCTATGGGAAAATTCTAGAGAAGAATGACAAGAAAATTACTTTAGTTTAGGCTGCTACTTTTTGCTAGCAAGTTGCTGTAAAAACCACATAGAGCTAAAGTAAAAGCTAAGTATTAAACTTGTTTCTAGCTTCAAAAGCTTCTGGAAAGCCCCAAAATCCACACAATCCATGATGTGCAGAAGAAAATTAATCAAGAGATGACTGTAGACATCTGAAAGAGCCAGATGAGTAGCTCTCCCCTCTGGTCAGGAAAATTAAGATACTCTCTCTGGGGAATATGGGAGCTCAGCAAATTTCCTTGGGAAAAGTAGCCTTGCTGCATAAAGGCAGCAAAGCCTTGTCCTGTGTGTCAATGCATTTGCTCTCAGCTCCCCACTGGAGTTTGCAAGCAGGCTGAATTGGACTGATAGGAAATTACTTCTCTACTCCTTTGTGTTGGAGTGTTAATATTTTAGGCATAGGAGAGCAATTTACATGTCAGAATTTTTAGTGCTTTAGGTATATCATGTTGATACAATTACTGCATGTGGGCAATTTGAGTATTCATGGACACAAACAGTAAAACAAAGAAAAAGAGGAAATAAAAGGTAAGAAAATGTGACCTACTGCCACTTCTTGTGGTTATAGGAAGTAATAATTAGTGTACAAAAAAATGCTAGTTCCAAACAAAAGCCATATTCTTTTCTCAATATTTACAGGGAACTCCAATATACAACTGTGGGCCAGGTCATTATTGACAGAACTGGTCTCTAATGAAATTGCATTTTGGCTTTGATACCAGAATGAATTTGATATTGCTGCTCAACACCGGCTTTGCAATCTGTTTGCAATGACATTTACTTTTTGCAGTAAACATTTTAGGAAAGTTGAGAAGCACTAAGCTATAAAGCATACCCAGTGTCAAATCCCAGGGATTACTGAAGGATCAATACTCTGTGACAGTGATACTCACTGATGTGTGGTTTTATTCTGGAATTTTTTTTTTTTGTTTGTTTGTTTGTTTGTTTTGTTTTGTTTTCTCCTTCTGTCCCTGCAGAGCTCTGGAAACACAGGGTAAAACAAGAAAATTTCTCAGTTGTACACCCATGGATAGTCAAAACAGTTGTTCAAAGATTGACGGATAGCCACCAAGAATCAGATACAGAGGTAAATACTCTGCATTTCCAGCTAAGCAACAGCTAAATCGTGTTTACAGATTTATTTCATAAAGCTCTTGCCAATCAGTGACCTAAAAGAGAAACACATTTCTTAAGATTATGAGCTTAGATGTAGATTATGTTGGTTTGTAATAGCAGCATTGGCACCAAACTTATGCAGTGCCCAGCTGCCTTCTGACAGGTTTATTTCAGCTCTCAGGGCTGTAATAATGTGAAGATGAGTTAGGGCTGGAGGCTTATATGCAACTGCAATGCAGGGTTGCAGGACTTTCTTCAGAGAGTCAGTAATAGGAACTCTTCTTCCTGAGTCATTGATAAATCAGCGTCAGTCTTGATGTTAGGAAGCAAAATTAGTTTCTTTCAGGGAAATTTGAAAAAAAAAAGAAAATATGACCACTTCTGGTAAAAAACACAAACCACATTTTTCAGTGATGGAAGGAATGTTGGGGCCCAGCTGCAATCCAGACCGTTTCTGTGCCGGCGATTCAATTTCTTTACTGAAAATCCTCTCTTAGCTTTAATCGGAGAAAGCAACATTATACAGTTACAGCTAGAACCAATCAAAAAAATTACAAATCTGTTTTCCATTAGTTCAGTGAAATTGTAGGTTTGACACAAACTTTTACATTGAATTATTTGATTTTGCTTCATTTTGGTATTGCAGAAGCACTTTATTTACAATAAAGTGACCATATTTCATTTTGATGCGTGTTGTATATAGCAACCATTGTGACTCAGACCACCCACTGGGTT